ATTTTAGGAAGGGGGAAGGGGCCGGGGAATGAGAGGACGTGGGCGTGTGCGCCTTGGCTCACAGGAAAGGCGTCTGGGTCGCAACCAGTGTGCCATGTGCCGAAAGGAGGGACATTGGAAAAATGAGTGCCCCGAAAGGGAAGGTACCCCTATGATGGCAGCGGAGGACCAAGAATAGGGGTGTCAGGGGAGACGGACTATCCTGCCCCCGGAACCCCGAGTAAAAATGCGGGTGGGAGATTCAGACATAGACTTTTTAATAGACTCTGGAGCTGCACGAACTGCTGTAAACCAACCCCTGCAGCTGCCTGTGGCAGATTCCCTCACTGTGGTGGGAGCCACAGGAAAAGGAACTAAGTGCCCAGTATATGCCCCAGCGGAATGTGCTTTGGGAAACAGAACTCTATCTCACAAACTGGTTTACCTCCCCGATTGTCCAACGCCACTATTAGGACGGGATCTGCTTTGTCGCTTAGGTGCCACCCTGCATTTCACTCAAGATGAAATAAGCCTCACCTTACCTCCAGAGAATGCCTGGATAATGACACTTGCAATTGAGCCCTCAGCCATGCAAGCCCCAGAGTGGAGTCAATGGGAGAAGCGGGTTTTTCCTCTGGTATGGGCATCAGGGATTCCAGGAAAGGCAGCCCATCATACTCCTATTACTGTTCAGCTCTTGCCAGGAAAAGGTCCAGTGCGAATTAAGCAGTATCCGATCAAAAGGGAAGCCAGAGAGGGATTGCAGGAAACTATAGACCAGTTCCTAAAGTGCAGGGTACTTTGAGAATGCCAGTCAGCTTGGAACACTCCTATCTTGCCTGTACAAAAGCCCAATGGCACATACCGGCTGGTCCAGGACCTGAGAGCAGTTAATGAGCGGGTTAAGACTCTACACCACCTTGTTCCAAATCCGTATACACTGTTGGCTTCTATAGGGGGGCAGTACACCCATTTTTCAGTCCTGGATTTAAAGGATGCTTTCTTCACGATTCCGGTTGACCTCCAGTCTCAGGAGATTTTCTCCTTCGAATGGGAGGACAAAAAGAGGGTTTGAAAGCAGCTTTGCTGGACAGTGCTGGCTCAGGGATTTAAAAATTCCCCCACCCTTTTCAGCCAGGCCCTGGCTAGAGACTTGGAGGAGTGGGACAATGAGAACAAAGTCCTCCTCCTGCAATATGAGATGGATGACTTGTTAATTGCTGCAGTGGGTCTAACCTCTTGCCTTAAAGCCACTGTGAGCCTCCTGAACTTTGTTGGACTTCGAGGATATCAAGTAGCACAGAGTAAGGCTCAGATTGCCCTTCCAGAAGTTCACTACTTAGGATTTTATATAAGGCAGGGGGAACGTCAGCTGTCAAACGAAAGAAAGGAAGCTATCTGCCAAATTCCTATCCCAAGCAATTGTAAACGGCACAGGGCATTTCTGGGTATGGCAGGCTTCTGTAGGATATGGATCCCAGAGTTTGGACTGTGGGCTAAACCCTTGTATGAATGTGTTAAGGGCGCTCCCATCATGATCATGACCCCTTTTACTGGTCCTCAGAAGCCGACAAGGCATTTAAGGTTTTAAAAAGGAAACTGATGGAAGCTCCAGCCCTGGGTCTGCCAGACCTCTCTAAGCCATTCCAACTGTATGTCCATGAAAGGAAAGGGGTGGCCCTGGGAGTGCTTACTCAGTTATTAGGCACCTGGAAACGTCCCGTGGCATATTTCTCTAAACAACTGGATCAAGTTGCTAAGGGATGGCCGGCATGTTTGCGAGCAGTCGCAGCAACTGCTCTAATGCTTGGGGAAGCTGAGAAATTGACACTGGGAGGAGCTGTGCAAGTGTATACTCCCCACATGGTTCAAGCCCTGCTGGATACTAAAGGTGGTCTCTGGCTTACACAGCCTCGAGTTGCTCGGTATCAGGCAAAGCTTGTAGAAATTCCTGAAGTTACCTTACAGACCTGTCCCTCCCTTAATCCAGCTACCCTGTTTCTGGAGACAGAGGAGCAGGAACATGACTGTTTGGAGGTCATAGATGCCCAATATTCTAGCCGCCCAGACTTGAAAGATCAACCTCTCCTGAATGCTGATTATGAGTGGTATATGGACGGCAGTAGTACAGTTGTAAATGGGCAAAGGAGGGCTGGCTATGCTATTGTATCTCTCCATGAAACTGTGGAAGCAGAGAGTTTACCTGCTGGGACATCAGCCCAGCTGGCTGAATTGGTAGCCTTAACTCGTGCACTTGAACTGTCAAAAGGGAAAAGAGTTAACATTTTTACTGATTCCAGATATGCCTTTGGAGTACTACATGCCCATGCTGGTCTATGGAAGCAACGAGGAATGTCGACAGCGCAAAACTCTCCTGTCAAACATGGACCCCAGATTCTCCGGCTTTTAGATGCGGTACAGCTCCCCACAATGGTAGCAGTGGTACATTGCAAGGCTCATCAAAAGGGAGATCAAGATATGGCCAGAGGTAATGCTAGGGCGGATAGGGAAGCTAGGTGAGCTGCTACCCTGGAACCACTAGAAGCTGAAGATGCCCATATGCATGCCCTCATCCCATCAGTGGGGGAGCTCCCGACTCCTCAGTACTCTGGCGAAGAAAGTATCAGGGGGTAGCCGTGTTAGTCTGTATCTACAAAAGAAAGAAAGAAAGAAAGAAAGAAAGAAAGAAAGAAAGAAAGAGATCTGGCCGACAGACTCGGTCTCCAGGAGAAAGGGGGGTGGTTCCACTCCCTGGAAGGAAAGATCCTACTACCGAAGAGCCTAATTCGGTCAGTGCTGCAGAAACTACATCAAACCACTCATGCAGGGAGAGAGACTCTCTCTCAGCTAATGGGTAAATATTTTTTAACCTCTGGACTTAGGCCTCTGGCCTCCCAGGTGCAGGCTGAATGTTTAGTCTGCCAAAAGAACAACCCTCGACCGGGAGTGTCAGTACTGCCAGCCACTCTGGAGCCTACCCCAGGCCCGGGACTGGTTTGGCAAATAGATTTTACTGAGTTTCCCCGGACTCAAGGATTCAGATACCTCCTCGTCTTGGTAGATTGATTCAGCGGATGGCCTGAAGCCTTCCCATGCCATAATAACACTGCCAAAACAGTGGCTCTTAAATTTGTCAGAGATCATTCCTCGCTTCGGACTCCCCCAGTGGATGGAATCTGACAACGGAACACACTTCACATCCCAAGTCATTCAAAAGATATCGGATGCCCTACAGATCCCCTGGAAGCTTCACACGCCATGGCGACCGCAGGCCAGTGGGGTAGTGGAGCGTACAAATCAGACACTTAAGCGGCACCTCTCAAAGGTTTGCCAAGAGGCTTCCCTTAAGTGGCCTGATGCTTTGCCCCTTGTTCTGCTCCACATTCGCGCTCTCCCTAAGGGTAGGTTAGGGCTCAGTCCCTTCGAGATTATGTTTGGAAGGGCATGGCCTATGAATGGTACACTGGTTCTGGCAGGGGAGTGGGAAATGGGGTGTGGCTTCTTATCTCTGTACATGTGCTCTCTGTCTGCTGTTCTCTGTTCTCTCCACAGGTATACCAAAGATTTGTAACCTCTCCCGCTGGATGCCCCGATCCACTCCTTGCAGCCAGGCGATTCCGTACTCGTCCGGATCTGGAAGGATGAGCCTCTCCAAGAGAAGTGGAAGGGACCCTACACCGTCCTGCTGGTCTCCCATATAGCAGCAAAGGTTGAGGGACACAAAAACTGGATTCATCACTCTCGTCTGAAAGCAGTGCCTGCTCCTGAACGGTGGACCGTCCAGCCTGCAGAGAAGACTGCCAGCAACGATTTGGGACTTAAGCTGTTATTCAGACGACAATAGTGTCTGCTGGGAATGCCCTGTGATCTCTTTGGACAGTCACAGCGCACTCCCTGCAAGACCTCTGTGCGTTGGTTGTGTTTGTTTTCACAGGACCGGCCTAACCTGGTGGCCTGGTCCCTTTTGTTTTTAATCTGCTTGCTATTGGTAATTGTTATTTTGTGGGTATTTGGGGAATTGTGATTGTTAGGCCCTAGGATCACCTGCCCAATATGAGTTCAGATCCGGGGTCTGCCATAGTGGTGCTCTTTGCCATAGGGACACTCCTCTTGTTAACTCCCGTTTCCCCCCAGGCACGTGCGGGATGGAAAGGAATCCCTACTAACTTAGAGACAAACACATATGAGTCCCTGAAGGTTTGCTTTGCCCAAGAGTTTAACCTCCCCAACTGCTGGGTATGCTCCCAAATCCCACACCATGCTGCAGGGTTACCCTGGAGGGTGGTTCCCCAGAAATCCCAGCATTCTCTCTCATTGAGAACCCCAGCTCCATGGCACTCAATTGTATCTTGTCTATAGAATATGAGAAAACTCAGCCAAAAGCTTGTTGAGTATTCTCAAAGGAGGGAACTGTTGGGGTTACTATGCCTGCCTGAGCCAGAGTTCTTCCATGTTTAAACTCTGTCCTTCCATGTTTAACTCTAATCGACCTTAACAACCAAGGACAGGAATTGGAATGTGTAAATAGCTAGTTAGCAATTACGACCTTGCTCATACTAGGTACCAAACAATAATGATGAGGTTTGCATGTTTCTAGCTGGGGAAGGGGTAATAAACTAAGGGTAAACAGGACCAAATAACTGTTTAGGGAGAAGTTACTAACAAGCTAGATTTATAGCCCTAGAATGATTTAGTTGCTTAAATGTATAAACATGCCTTCGGTAGAGAGGGGAGGGGGAGTAGAGGAGGGGTGGTAGAGAAGGGGGGCTTAGTTGTAAAATGTATAAAGAAGAGAGAAACTGTTTTTGCTGGTGTGCTCGATTTGAGACTTGCCTGTCTCCTTGCACCACTTTGAGATCTCAAATAAACTTTGATTGTTTCTCCACCCCGGTATGTTTATTGGCGTAAAGCACTCCGGGCACCAAACCCCACTGTTGCTGTGGGTTAGTTAATGTCTGTGCAGCACGCTGAGCTGGGAGAGTGCTCAGGAGAGAGCAGTGCCAACAGAGGTCCTGGCCAGGTGCTACAGGGTCTGCTCTGGCTGCTGGTAGGGCCTGAAGATTTTGACCTAACTATTTGAAAGACACTGCCCTCTCCGGCCCACAGTGAGATCAGCAGGGGTGCTTGACTGTACAACAGTGAGGGAAGCACTCACAGAGCTACAAGGACATATCCCCCCTTAGTCATCTCTTTTCCAAGCTGAAAAGTCCTAGTCTTATTAATCTCTTCTCATATGGCAGCTGTTCCATACCCCTAATCATTTTTGTTGCCCTTTTCTGAACCTTTTCCAATTCTAATATATCTTTTTTGAGATGGGGCTACCACATCTGCACATAGTATTCAAGATGTGTGCATACCATGGATTTATATAGCGGCAATATGATATCTTTTGTTTTATTATAAGAAATATCTATTATTTCTTGATTCCTGACATTCTGTTCGCTTTTTTGACTGCTGCTGTACATTGAATGGTTTTCAGAGAACTATCCACAATGACTCCAAGATCTTTCTTGAGAGGTAACAGCTGACTTAGACCCCATCATTTTATATGTATAGTTGGGATAATGTTTTCCAGTGTGCATTACTTTGCATTTATCAACACGGAATTTCATCTAGCATTTTGTTACCTAGTCACCCAGTTTTGTGAGATCCTTTTGTAGCTCTTCACAAACAACAAAGAGTCTGGTGGCACCTTAAAGACTAACAGATTTATTTGGGCATAAGCTTTCGTGAGTAAAAAACCTCACTTCTTCGGATGCACCTCAGAAGT